ATCATTTGAGATCATAGTGTCGATGAGGACATCTTTTCGATAACACAGAAAAATATATTACACTATTACCATTGAATACAACCGAAAGGGATTGGTAGAATATTTTTTGTTCTATTTGCCCTTATTGCACTCTCAATGTAGTATAAAGTAATAGCAATTTGCTTAACAATAAAATGAACGCTATCGACTAATTTATTGCTCATGTCTTGTTGTTAAAATATTATCTTGTTGATCTTTTCTTAATCATTTTAATATCTTTTATTAGATAATGGTAAATATGAATGAAATTCTTCTAGCAGCTGTTCTTGATGCAAGTGTTTCGTCGACATTAGAATCATTCATTGATAGATGCTGTACTAATAATATTGACTTTGCTCGAACTTATGATAAAAATATTTATGATAATCGAGTTATACCTTCTAAACATTTAGCTATATTATGTTGTATGGATGCACGCTTAGATGTGTATCGTATGCTAGGACTACAACCCGGTGAAGCACACATTATTCGAAATGGTACCTAATTTTAACTTATTTTTATTTGATCATGTATGAATGATTTTCTTTCTTTTTATTGAAGGTGGTGGTCGTATTCGTGATGCTGTTCGTTCACTTATTTGTAGTCAAGCATTATTTCAAACAAAAGAATTAATGATTATTCATCATACTGATTGTGGTTTCACTTATTTTTCGACCAATAATCAAATATTGGCATCACTCATAGTCAGATTATTCTTAAGTTTAAACATCTATTCCTTTTTTTTTGTCAACAGTCATAATTAGATTATTTCTAAGTCTTAACATCTATTTCTTTTTCTTTTTTTGTCAACAGTCATTATATTTTTATATTTTTGACTTTTCAGGTGCAACCAGGAACACGAAAAAGTAATTTGATTCTCTCTCGACCAGCATATCAAAATAATAAATCTGATTTTATGCCAATTATTGATATCGAACAATCAATTCGTGATGATCTTGCTGAATATAAACAATATCCAATGTTGAATCAGAATATTATCGTACGTGGGTTTTTATATGATACGAAAACAGGTTTACTCAAAGAAATTAAATGATGGACACCATATGACTTTTATTGTATTTATATACTAGACGAAATCGACATATAGGACGAATTGAAATAATATTGTTTCTCTGTATTTTGTAAGAAATATTAAAGATTTTCATTTCTTTTATTGGAGAGAATCTTAAACTTCTTCCAACAACAATAAATACATGATTATGTTTGTTTCTTCTTAGGAAAACTTGATATCAACAGTGGTATTATATTGCGCTCTATATGTTAGATGCAACTGGAATTTAACTTTTTGGAATTTATTGGATTCATACAAAACAGTTAAATTTACTTGCTTGATACTATACAACATACTCTATCTGTATCAGGCATGCACCATAGCTCTGAACAGTCAGCAATTGTCCTAAGCTAGATTTGTGATCCTTAGTCTCATCTTTGGTTTTACCCTCGGCTAGATGCTTCGTTTTTGATCTCGCTTTGAGTGAATAAGGGTGTATTAGGGTGAAGGCGTGAGTCTCGTATAGATGCGGCTATTGATGACTGCGGACATGCATGTGGGAGTTCGGTGTATGTGAAAGTCCTGAAAGCCGGGGTATACATACCTTCAATAATTGAAAATTATTCATTATTACCCAATAAAACTACCACGAATTTTCGAATTTTTTACTACCCTTGTGAGAGATGTTCTTTCACATCTCACTAACAACCCCATCCCCCAATATTGTAACCCCCACACGGCTTCTGAGTGGGTATAGTGTATGTTTGTATTTTGGATGTGAGTGCAGATTTTTGCGTGCTTGTGGGTATGGGTATGCGTGTGATTCTTCATGTACTGGTGAGTTTGGGAGTGCAGTATATGATGTTGGATGTGGGTGTATTTCAGTGTAATTGTTGATGTGCAGGTATAAGTTTCATGTGTTATTTTGTTGACGAGAAGCAGCACACAAAGGCACACTCCACACCTACACACTACTTGTAAAAATGACAACATTTCTCTTTAACAAAAGCTTGTTATCCCAGACCCTATGGAATTGAAATGTGGAACACACACATGTTCTTTAACCTCATTAAACTATTATAAAATGCGTAAAATAAAAAACCTCTCGTAGACTAAAATTGTTTTTTCATATATTTGAGTCATAGACTACGAATCTGTCTTATTTATTTCTGCATATGAAACAGAATTGTTTTCTTTTCTTTTACGAGCATCCAACTTTTTGTTTGCACTATTGCTATTTGTTCTTTTTTTTTAATTCTTTTTCGTATTTTGTTTTTCTTAATTTAACAGTATTATTATTAAAAAATATTGAATTAAATAACAAATAAGATAGTTGTAAATATCTATTATATTTACAGCAGCAGGTCTAAACGCACATTTATATATCTCAATCAACTGACAAATACTGTTATTAATTATTTTTCAAAGTTATAACTTGATCGTTTCACGCTTTTTATGTGAACCATAGGACAACTGTGGCAAATCAGTATATAAATTATTATTTGAGCAAAACCAAAAACTGCACTTTTTAAAATATTCACAAATTTATTTCAGTCATTTAATCGTGTTGCTGAGAACCTTTGGAAAAGGAGTTTGATGTCAGTTGTCCAAGATTATATGATTCTGTAATGTGGAGGTGGGTGAGTTGCTAAGGTCTGTAATGAGGAGAGAAGAACTGTAAAACTTCAATTTAAAACTTACTCTCACTATTTTCTTCGAAAACATATGTGAGTTTCATAAAATAAGATTTCGAAAAATCAAAGCAATATCTGTCAATTCTGGTAGTATATAACAGTGTTCACAGAAAGTTCATCAAAACATCAATTTCGTACTTATTGCTACTATTAGAGTATGTATTTTATGTACATAGTATTATTAAACGTCGTCATAAATACATGCCGCAGGTTCAGTTTTCTACGACAAATTTGAATATGTCAGTTTCAAAAGTTCAATGAAATGGAAAATTTTCTTAAAACCGATAAAATATATCAGTTTTTTAGCATCAATAAAGTTTTTAGAAAAAAATGAATTATTTATAATTATCACAAAAATTCGACTTTTTTTCATCAGAAAGCTTTCAAATGAAATTATAACATACATATTCTTACATAGCTTGGTAAGCTCTCTCTAACACAACATAAAAAACGCATTGTATTAGTTTTGCATTTTGTATACATTAAAAAAAAAAGAAATTTACATTTGTTTTTGATTGGTTATGTGTCTACTTTTTAATTAAGGTTTGGCACATCTGACCGATTTATTTTCGAAAGAAATCGAACAATATAATTTACATATTATTTTTGTGAGGGAGAGGCCTTTTGATAGTATAGTAATGCAAAATTTCGATATATGAATTGTATGCGTAAAAAAAATTCTAATTATCATTTTTTTGTATACGTTGGTGAAACCATGTAACAAATCGTCTACACAGATCGAGACATATAATCAGATTGTTCTATTCAATATCGCATTTATTCTGTAGCGTATGCACACTCATTGCTAAGTGAATTGATCACAAGTTGACATTTTCATATAGAATTTAATATTTTATGAAAGATAATGTTGTCCACCAGACGTCGATCACTAAAATCATTCCGCGTCATTAAAGTTCGTTGTCGTCGTCACCATCGATCGTTCAGAAATCATGTGAGCAATTGAAACATGACTTTCTAAACAATAGTCACTTAATAACATTCATTGAATCGATTTATAGCATGGTAAATCATTGAAATCAGATATTCCACCCATCAGTATCACTCATATAAAAACTCGTCCGTCAAGTAAAATTCGTCCTTTCAATGATGATAAGGTAATGATCTGTTTATAAGATGTTGATCAATTACATTAATCTATTATATTTATTCGATACATATATACAGTTTTCATCTATTACAAATACTGATCATCATTTATTCTCACATGAGAAATTAAGTAAACAATCATCTATTCCAACAAGTCCTCTCAATGTAAGTGAACTGTATTGTTAACATAAGATTGTTGCCTAAACTAGAAAAAATAGTGTAATACATTTTAAATTTGTATAGAAAATATGGTCATTTCTCAAAATAATTATATTTACACGTTTGGATACTTTTATAATTGACAGATACAAAATATGAAATCAATTTTTCCTGATATTAATAATGCACTGTAATTGATACACTTTTTGAAAGCGTTGAATTTGTTTTTTTTTCGTTAGATAAGTCGATCGTAAAAAAAAAGTTTAAGCGAAGATCTTTGTGCTTTTTAGTTCAATACTGTGTTACCTATTAAGGATCTTACTCATCTGACGAACCCCAATGAATTCGATTCTAGTCTGTTCAATGATCGAAATGTTAATAAAGTATGTTTTCGTATTCTTTCCATCATTTCTTCTATTTAATTCAAGTAGATCAATTCATATCGAAATCGAACAAGTTCCTTTGTTCACTATGATGAATCATTCAATCCTTCAAAACAACGAAAGAAACAAAAGTATGTTAGCTGATCTCAGTTCTTTTATACTTAAAGATTTCTCGTAGAAATCTCGGTACCTATTGCCGTTTTTGTACACCTTTGTGTGTAAGTTGGTCTGTGCTTGCTGTTGCTCTTCTTACCTTTGTAATTGCTGCAATTTTGATTGCTACTTTAATCAAAAACAAATCTTCAACGACAACAGCATCAATAACTGGTGAGCATGAAGTCTTATTATCATAAATTGTCGTATGCTAATTACTTTTAACAAATAGCATTCCTAACTACATCAACGACAAGTTCATCAACTTCTCCGACAAGCTCGTCGACGTCTTCGACAAGCTCATCAACTTCCTCGACAAGCTCATCGAGCTCTTCAACAAGTTCATCGACCTCCTCGACAAGTAAGATAATTCTATACAATGATGAATTAAGCCGTAGTCTTTCATCTAAAATCATTGCGTTAAAAAAATTATTTGTGAATAAATAATGTTTGTTTTCAGGTACGACAACTTTAATGACCTGTGGTTTTTCATGTCTTAATCAAACATGGATTTTATCATCAGATATACTCGCTAAATGGGCATTTGACGGAACATATCTCGACCAAATGAATACTTATACAGCAATCGCAAAGAATACTCCATCTTTTATTTCCAATGGTTATGTAAATCAGGCTCTCTCACTCAATGCAGCTTCTAATCAATATTTATACACTTCATACATTCCTTTAATAAATGCTAGTTTTACAGTTGAACTTTGGCTGTATCCTACTGGATTTCCAAATTCAAAAGATCATGCTATTCTTGGTCTGTGTACAAGTCTATCAAATGATCAATGTCTTCATTTAACTATTCGAAATTCTAATTCCACACATCGTCTCTATATGTCCTTTGCTGGTGACAATTGTGAAAGCAATCAATCTGTGCCACTCAATGCATGGACACATGTTGCATTTGTCTTTGATAAGGATACATTTGCTATGTCAATCTATTTGAATGGAAATCTTGTTGGACATGCCATATCAGCATTACCACTCCAAGGTATTGAAAACAATGTTACAATAGGTTATATACCAGGAATTGTTGCAGCTTATGGCAGTAATTTTTTTCAGGTGAATTTTTTTCGTTTTATTTTTTGATGTGTTTTCTAAGTGAAACGGCAAGTTTTTTCTTTATCACCTAGGGTTACATTGATCAACTAACAATTGTCCATCGGGCAAAACCAGCCTGTGAAATACTTGATGATGCTACATTGGCGACGTATTATAATTTTGACAATAGTCCTGTTCTGAACGATTCTGGACCCAATTCTTTGCTAAGTACTTCACAATATGTCTCTTTTACATCATCTGGTCATTCCTCTAAAGCTATTTCTTTTAATAATTCAACATCATATTTACAAATAGGTGGTCTTACTGGACTTGGTATTAGCAATAAAGCTTTCTCAATTTCTCTATGGATTCGACCTTATTCATTGTCAGGAACAATCGTTTTTGTTTCAAGTACTGCAGCAGGCACTGGTTGGTGCTTCCCGTTTATAGGCTTCGCCACTAATGGTTCCATAGTGGCTCAATCATGGGATGGTACTGCTCGAGCTATTTTTGGTCCAGCTATATCAACATCTTCAGTATGGTATCATATTGTTGAAACTTGGAGTTCGACAAATGGACTTCGACTGTATATCGACCATGTTCTAGTAACATCGGATGCATCGATAGTGACTTATTCAGCCAGTTCAGTGTCAAACTATGTCAAATTAGCCAATAGACCGGGTGCTAATGGTTGTGCATTTGGTGCAGCTGGCACACAGACAGCATTTTATGGTGACATTGATGATTTTAGAATTTATAGTCGAGAACTAACCGCTGACGATATCTGTGCATTTTAACGCTTTTAGATAATATAAAAATAAAAATGAGACAGTCTTAAGACCTTTTAATAAAATGTACGACTTATATATATGTTATTGCTTTTGGTGCATCAAGTATAAACTTCTTGAGCTTGGTGAGTTTGGTTCGATGAGTTTGGATTTGATTATGGGTCTTTTCTCTCAAGCCTCTTGTCTATATTTAAGACATTTTTTAATATATAAATCTTCGCCAAAACATATTTCTAACGTAAGTCTAACATTGCCCATTATCAAACTCAAACTATTAAATAACCTTAATAGTCGATGATAATACATTAGTTTTGAGGATTCATTATTTCAAGTTTTATTTTTTTTGGCATCTTAACAATAATTTTGATATTTATCTGAATGTTAAATAAATGAAATTTGAACCGATGTTCATTATCAAAAGAAAACTTATGTGCACAAAAGGTCACTTTGTAATCTCAATTTTCATCGAAAAATCGAATCCAGTAACAACCAGAAATTAGTCATAAACTAAGTGAACCGTTTAGTTCTAGCAACGATGAAAAAGGATTCTTAATTTAAGTGAGTTCTGATAAAAAAAGATTGAGTAGGTTGAAAAAAATCGTCTTTTTCCAGATAGTGACTCAATAGTCATTTGATTTAATAGAGCTCTAAATGTTCACCACACATATGTGGTCAGAGTCTAAAACCAATTGAAACCTGACAAAATTGCGAGAATATTTCAGTTGATTATGCGATAACATTTAAAACGTGTTTCACATCAAAGCCTATCTTGGACTAATTTGAAGCAATTTCAGAAAATGAATTTAAGCATAAAGTTTTGAACTTTCTCTGATGTTGAAATAATCAAGATCATATTTATCTTTTGTTGTTCTGTTATGATTCTGATCTGAGGACCGTCTGTAATATTACTTCGCACAACTGAAAATCAGTATCCACTATTTCTAAAGGGCATTTATTGATTAAAATCGACTTTGTAATAAACTAAATGCAACGAATTCAAGTTTTGATCATATTCATGAAATTATTTTGATGAAAAGTTCGTTTTGATCTTTGAGATTCATATAGATCAAAATTAATATTCGTTATATCAATTGAAATATCATTCTTTTAAAACCTTTGTTTTTGGGAATATAAAATTTATTAATTGAAATTCAACATAAAAAATTTCCCTTATTTAGATATGTAGATACAGTCATCATCTTTTTTGATGTTTAAATAAGCATTTTAGTTTCTAATGAAATTCAAAAAAAGACATCTCGAAAAAATGAATCTTAGGAACTAATGCAGTTATCTCAAATACTTCCAGTACTTTGATGTCAAACTCAGGGTGAAAACTTTATTTTTTCAGTTTTAGTACTGTTTTACTGTGTTGCAATTTATCATGACTAGAGTCATGAGGGGCTATAATTTGCTATCATTGATTCTATTTAAAAACACGACAACCATCAACACAGAAGTGATTGCTCATTTTACACATTACTGACGTTTGATTGTATTTTAAGTCAGATCTGATTGAAAATAAAATCTAATCGGTTCCAGCATGTTCGAAATGATGTCAAACAAATGATGGGAAAAGTCTTGACGCGAATTAGATTCTTTCAGAGTATAGACGACTGTAATTCCAATTATTTGTTCATGTTACGACCGAAATAGTTTATTTTGGACACGAACTAATAAATACTATTCATTTGACGTAATATCTAGCAGAAAGACAGCCTGAAAATACTGTTGATTATGTATAGTAACCTAAGAAAGAAACTTAAATTAATAACACTCAGTAAATCATGATAAATTATTCTAATATCCAAGAAAACGCTAATAATTATTTATCCAAGACATTCTAAATTAAAACACGTTCTAACTTATTAAACCTGTTATTAAGAATCATTCTGGGATTATAATAGTTATCATCATCGAAGTGAAGTGATAAGCGTGTTATTATTATTCCAAATGTTCAAGTTGTGAAATAAACAAGTCGAATAATAAATAAAACTGAATATCTGTCCGATTCAAAGAAATGTGATTTATTTGTTACACTAATTGAAAGAACAAAAATATAGAGGCTAGTACTATCTAAAATTATTTTGCTTCAAACAGATCTCAGAAAAATTTGCCGCAAACGAGAGATATTATGTTTGGATCAGAATAAAATTCCCTATCTTTTCATATATATTCATCTCATAGAATCATTGCCAAATGTTCATATGCAGAGTGCATTAGTCATTTTCAAATCTGCTATAGATAGCATGGGTCATGAGTTCTTGACATCATACCTTAATCATTTTAAAATGTTTTTTAATGATATATGCAACCTGAAAGATTATACTCAGTATATTGATTTTGACGGTTGATAAAGTCATTTGTTTCAAAATATTCTGTAGAAATGACCCTTGAATCATAGTACTACAACTTGACTGTCATAATGGTTATATACACCAATGACACATGCAGACAGACCTGAAATTCCGAGAAATTTATTTCTCTTTCGCTTATATTTGTTTGCCTTGTTGTACTTCCTTTTAAATCCAACCTATAAAAATAATCGTCCTATTAAATGGCTGAGACTCTACACCTGTATAGTCACCTTGATGGCACAGTCCACATTTTATTCGATTCTGTTTTTGGATTCTAATGGAAATCACACATCGCCAGATGCCACTAATGGTCTAACATTTTTTAAATCGATCGATGATTTAGTCAACTCATTACAAACATCGACTGAAGTAATAGTACCTGTTTGTATATGCTCTTCAAATAAGTTAAACATTTTGGGCAAACTTGAAAAGTATTCAAATGTAGCATGTGTCTTAATATGTGAAGAGCACCATGAAACACTCAATACACAAAATCTGGTAATAAATAATTTAAAAATTAAAAAAGAAAAATTTTCGGATGAACCTCTTCGTTGGCAAATTCATGCTCATACTGAAGCTTTTCTTATTAATGCTAACAATGCACAACAAAGTGTAGTTGATTATATCAAAAGCATTATATCCCATCTTACACAACATCCAAGCTATATATCTCATAATTCACATGAAGAAAACTCATTTTAACTTTGTCTGAAAATGAAGATGAAATTTAGTACAATGTTGATGTGGAATAAAATAAAAAAAATAGGTATTTTTTCTTTTTAATCTAGAATACTATATCTTTTATGTGATTATTTTTTTATTCATGAATATGTCAGTGAATGAAATTTCTTTTCTTTTTGAAAATAAAAATTTTTATTTCATATTAAGAGACAAACTGCTCAAGAAATTCAATGGAAAGACTAACAAGTTATATGTCTTGTTGCCCTATGACATGAGTTAAATATCTGAAAAGAATATATATAACAAGAGTATGTAAACTAAAGAAAAAACTGTAATACATTCATTATCGAAAACTCTTTTAACTTGATTATTATTATAGTCTAAGACTAAAATGAATATAAAAAGAAAACATTTTTCTGTAAAAGTAGAACATTCTAGAGTTTACATAATTCTTTGTCAATATAAAACATTATTTAACATGATTATCGTAAGAACGTCTGTCAAATACATGTCAAAATTTTCTCACATATCATATACTTCTAAGTTTTTGATATGATAGTAAAATATTAAGAGATTCCAATGAATATATTCAATGTTTCGTAGAATACTATGAAATAATATTGTGATCGATTTTCAAAATCTTCTTTTGTTCATTTTTATCTATATAATAATTTTCAAAAAGAGTTTCAATAACTAATAATCAGTTTACTACAAAGAGAACATCATTTTTACTTACTCAGTGTTCATAAATTTTATTTCATAGTATACCTATTTACTTTTATCGAAGTAATTATAAAAGAAAAGCAAGTGAAAATAAGAGTATATGCGACTGGAAACTAGTAACATAACTATATAAATTCTAGAAGGGGTTTGATCCCTCTTTACTATCGACAATTGTGTTCCGTTTAAAAAAATGGGCTGGAATCCCTTCCAGTCACGTTATCGAAGGACTACCGCTCTTTTTATGCATGATCAGGAAGTTGAGTCTTCGTGCCCATACAGGTTTTTTCGGTTGTGCCACAACAGAAAGCAATATTTTCCTTATTTTATAATGTGATAACTCAAATTTCAAGTGTTTCTAAAATACTATTGAAAAGACGATTAGATTCAACCATGAGTATATAAATGTAGATTGTAAAATAAATTTTCATTTTTTCAAGTCATATTTTTTTTCTCATATGTGTTTCGTTACGGATGAAGGTTGATAGTTTTCGTAAATATAGTGATCGTTCAAGCCTAGTCCATGCTAAAATTTCAACCATCTACGTGTTATTCTTACAAATTAATCAAATTTGTTTTTTATTTTGTAAAATATTTAACTTCCTAGAAGCATAGGTTATTTGCTATATTTACTTTACAACATCAAAAACTCACAGTCATCTACTTTCATTTAGCTTAATAGAAACAAAAAAGTTGTCATTTAATTCAGAGAAAAGACAGTTTTCCATGAACTTATTAATTTTCACCAAGATAATTATAAATATATTTTCTCGTTGCTATGAGTTATTAGTATTAGTGAAAAAGAAACCGAATAAATTTTCTTTTCTCAATTCATAATGCGATGTGAACAAACGAACGAAATACAAAAAAGTGATAGATAGACTCACAAAAGTTACTCGCGGTAAGCAAATGATTAAACAAGTAGAATTTTTCTATGCTGAAGAATTCTATAAATAATTGAAACATTTTTATGATTTTGACGTTACTTATATGTCTGTTGGAACAAAACATTAACTGTTAAGCTACTAGTATACAATAGATCTAAAAGTCTAATCCATATATTGACCATATCAATTTCAACCAATATAGAAATATTTACAAAAAAAAATATTGTTTGTTCGCTTAGAGAAATAGTCCATAATGTTCTTATTTATGTTATGATCATAAATATCTTGCCGATGTTTGATAAAACATTTAATACAATATTATTAATATTTATTGCTTTAAGTTTCAGTAGAACTCAATAGTAGTATT